CAAAAAAAAAAAAAGGACTGAAAATGAAGCTCCTTTACTTGATTTCCATGGAGGATGAGGGCTTTGTGCAAGAGCTTTGTGCAAGGGCTTTGTCAGCTCTGCTGCTCTCCGCAATGAAGACTTTCCCAGAGAGACTGCATGTCTTCCAGTGGCAGAAACATTTTGCTTTAGATAATTTAAAACGTGCGATGAGCACCCTCTGTTGCCTCCCTCTTCAAGGGCTGGATAATGTGCGAAGCGACGTTCCTGGTCTCTCTCGTGCTGCAAAGGCAGTCGGCCAGATCCAACCTGCTCTCACGCGGGAAGAAATCTGACGGCTTTCTTGGGAGAAAAAACCTTGGGTCCCTGTTGTGGTGTGCCTCCGACAGGGCTCAGCCCTGGTGCCTCTCCCCTTCCTGTTTCTCCATCCTAGCTGCGCGGGCGGACCAGCACGACTCGAATGGATGTCTATGTGAGAATGCAATTCCGAGGGAGTGAATGGTATCAACACAGAGTCACCAAGATGCTCTGAACTCCAGATCACAGCTGGTTCCCACCAAGGAGATTAATTCTTGGAGCTGTTTATCTCATTAACCCTTTTTTGGCCTTGTTCCCCCCGAGCGGCTGAGTGCGTGCACTCGCACGCGCGCGCAGGGCCATTAGCGCAGCGCCCGGGGCTGCCTGCCGGGCGCCCGGCTCCCTGGGGCGCTGCTCCGCTTGCAGCAAGCTCTGCGTGTGTGTGATACGTCTCAATCAGGGAGAGCAGCAGGGAGACCCATCCTTCACAGCACAGTGCGTCCCCAGAGCAGCAAAGCTGCCAGATGAGAGCTATCTCCCCTCTCCCACGTCTAACTGCCTTTTCAGTGAGGAGACAAAAGCCGATGTTGACAAGCGCTTTTGCAATTGTTGGGAGACACCTCCGCCAGCTCCGGCCCGCGCCTGTGCTGTCAGCGTGCAGTGACACAGCCCTGCTCCCCTGCGTTGCTGCTCTGTGCGAGACAACTGGGAGAAGGCTTGCAACATCATTCTTTTTGCTGCAACTGCTTGTTTTTGACAGGCATAAAGATGTTTTATCTTGCTCCTGTCAGAAACCAAACTTAAATTTAAAAAGCAACAACAAAAGGTCTGTGGTGGAGAAAAGGCAGGAGGAGGGCGGGGGGGTGGGTGGGGGGGAAGCAGGAAGCCACCATACCTTGCTGCATCAGTGCTCCCATCCCAAACCAGAAGCTGTTCAATAGGGTGAAGTTGTTCTCAACGATGTCTGAGCCTGGGTTGCAGGGATGAGCATCGTACCACTCATATGGGCTGAACCTGTGGCAGCACACGGAAAGCGAGAGCTCATTAGTCAGGATGTGGCATGAAAAGACCCTAAAGGAACAAGGGAAAAAAAGCTGTAGCACATCTTGTAATGCTGTGAGGGGCTGCTGACCCCTTCAGTTGTGTGGCTTTTTCAAGAAAAAGATAAATTTAGCCCAGATTTTCAAAAGTGACCAGCATGACTGTAAGCCCCACGTCTTGCAGCACAGACAAGGAAACGTCGGAAACCAGCTCCTACTGAAGTATTCCAGGTTGCTTCCCCAAGGACTTCAGTCACTTCTGATCATCTCTGCAGTGTGTTACACGACAGCCACAGGAGCCCGTGCCTGTGGGATGGGACGCGGTACAGACACACGATCTCTAGCCCTAGGACACAATGGTTCCATAATGCAGGAGAAAAGGTCATTTTCTGTTGACCAAGGAAAAACACCGCAGTCCTAGCTGAGACAAGCTACAGTATGTTAGGGGGACTCTTCCCCTAGCACACGTTAGGGTTCTGTGCACGATGCATCTAGGGTGAGAAGCAGAATTTTCCACCAACCTGACAAACAGAAATCCTGCACTGTGAGAGCACCAGCACACTGGAAATTGGTGTGGATTCACCATGGAGTCCAGATGAGCTGCCTCTGAACAACTAGAGCTATCCTTACTCATAGCGAGCACTAGACATAGCTATTCAATGCATCTTCTACTAACTGTTGCATACTGCAGTGGTGGTGCAACAGCAGCTTGCAGGCTGTCCCTCTTTGAGACAAGTGCTGGGAACTGGGGGGTAGCTCCTCTCTTCAGTTTCAGGGACAGCCTGTAGCTCTTGGACAAAACTGAGGGAATTTTTTATGATCATCTTTCTGCAAATCCTGCCTATGATTGGTAGGCAAGTATGGCCTTGAATGTAGCTCATTTTGCCAGGATCTGGGGAGGATGCTCTACAGGAGAGCTGCTCATATTTTTAGAGCTGTTTGTTTACATTTTCTAAGAATCTCAAATTTTACAGAGATTAAATTAAAAACCTAACTGTCATAATTGCTTTTGAACCAGGCATTAATTATCATCTCTACTTCATTCTGAAATCCCTGTAGCTTCACCACAACCCTTTCTCGAAGCCCAACCCGCAGTTTGTATTAGGAGGTATTTCTCTGTAATTCTCTGCCAGACGTCCTGCTATTCAAGGAGATCTCCTGTCATTTAACTTCATGGGAGTCTTCAGTCAGAGGCAGTTAGATGTATTTGGAGAAAAAAGCAAAACTCTCTCCCAGGTGCCCCTCCGGGCACAGAAAGCTCCCCCAAACAATTACCCCTAACTTCTGCTCTCTGCATAGGACGTCTACCTGCAATTTTAGAGTACCTCTGTGCCAACTTCTGCTGCTGTTTTCACATGCAAGATACAGGGTAACAGTCTCTCCTTTCCCCCAGCTTTGGCCATGCTGCTCCGGAGGACCCACTCTGCAGCCGGGGCCATTGCCTAGCATGCGTTTCCGGAGTGCAGGGAGGTATTGATTCGGCTAAGACTGCACCCTGACAGTCTTGCTCTTTCGTCTGGATGACAGCCAGTCCACGCTTACTGCCCACCTCCCTCTGCTTTTTAAAATAAGAAAAATTAGAAAGGAAAAAACAATTAGGCTGAACTTAAACCTGGTTTTGCATGCTGCCTGGTCCTTTAAACTTGCTGTAAATTTATGCCAGAGGTGTTTAGAAGATGGTGCCTAAGCCCTGTCTCCTGAATTAAGCCAGAGTTCAAGAATTCGATGAAAACTTTCTCAGTCTACCAATGAAAGAATATGAAATGGAAGGGGAATTGGTAAGATCAAATGAGCTTGACAAGATGACACACTGAAGGACTTAAAGGTCTCTGAGTGAGAACCTACTGGTGCTGCTCAAACTACAGAGAAACATTCAGAAAACTGCAAAGCAGAGACAGAGTCTTCAATACTTGAAAAGCTGGAGGGACCATTAAAGGAAACGGAGGTATAATGAGGGAAGAAGTGAACGGAGCTTATTGACCCCATATAGCTGGAGCCACAATGAATGCGGGCTGTTCAGGCTTCACCTTGGGCTGGCTTCCCTCTTCCTCATGTGCAGAACAGGTTCTAAGACATATTTAATCAAAAACTATGATTATTTTCTTGTCTCTTTTTTGGCCTTGTTGGCAGGGAAAGGGGACCGTTTCAAAGAAGTTTTAGTAAAAAGATAAAGTCTAACACAAAGTACTTTTGAGCCTAAACTGCATCTCCAGAGAAGTCCTTTATGGATGACCAAGTTCTTGTTAAGATTAAAATGACTGTTAAGCTCCCCATCCCCCTGTTATGCCCCAGACGGTGATGAGTTATAATTTGAAGGCCACGTGAAGCTGGGGACAGCAGGCGACAATTCCAGGCAAGCACCCGCTTGCAGCCTTGCGCCGGTGCCACCCGGCAGATTGCCCCACGACGCCTTGCAAACTGCTGCTGTTTGCAGCTCTTTGGGGCTGGCATGGTTGGGAGCAGAGACTCCATCAATAAGCAAGAAAGACTCAAGAAAGACTGATTAAGAGAGGAGATGGATCAAATACATCCTTTGCCTGCCTCTAAATAGTCCCTAAGTTGGTTTAAAGTGGCATTGACCTATGATTATAGCATCAGCAGAGGACTCTGGTGCCTAGTTCAGGAGACTCATGTCTCTGAATTAAGGCTTTGCTATTTTGACTGTTTTTTTCTCCTGAGGATTGCGTTTTAGAGGCCTTGCTGGGGTCAAGTGCAGATGCTGTTTCCATTACTACTGAAGGCAATAAATCTAACCCATGTTTTCCTTGGGAAATCTCTTGCTCTCCATCTCTGTGAGTTAAAGGATCATTCCTGCACAGCCTTAATTACACTGAATACTTGATGTTATTTAAAAGAATATCTGAAGGTAGAAGAAATGGCAGGAGCAAAACATGCTAGTTAGAAAATGAAAGAAAAAGAAACTGTAATTGCAATTTTTTTCAGCCAAAAAGTAGCCTGATAGGAAAGAAATGCTACTTTACATTGTAACTGCTATGATGTAACTAAGACATTAATTTTGCTGCAAAACAGCTCATTTTATCAGTGTAAAGAAGAATGAAAGAAGCTGAAAACGAGGAGAAGAGAGTAATAGAAATTAAGGGAAGGAGAAATTGGCATTAGTTGAAATAGGACTCCAATAGGGGCCCGCCAAAGCACTGAGCTGCCATTGCTCTACTAGCACGGAGCCAGAGGAAGTCTCGAGGCTAAATTCACTGTGTGACCACGTTTTTACCTGCCTCCCTGCCAATGGCATCGCCAATGCTGAGCCACAGTCCCACGAGGAGGCCCTGCCTGCCCCTGCCGTGGCCGAGTCCTGGCACCAGGTAGAAAATTTGGGTATCCCGATCGCTGGTTTCAGGCCTAGGATGCTCAGCTTCATCTTAGACGTAGGAAAAATGGTGAAATCTGCCACTGCAAGTTGGAGCCAGGTCCATAAACCCGCTAGTGCTGCAGCCCTGGGTCTGGACGAGACGTGGGGCCGGCACCGGCGGAGGGTGGTGCTGAGCGGCCAAGAAGTGCTGCGGCAAGCACAGCACAGGAAAGCATCGCCCTCGGCATCTCGCCCTCGAGCTGCCTGCCCCCACGAGGTGCGCGTGGACCTCCGCAGGGCTGGGGTCGCCGGGCTGCGTTCAGGGGAGCGATTTACTGCCTGCGACCTGTCGCGGCTGCGGGTGCAAAGTGTTGCTGAGCTGGAACCATGCTGACTGTCCAATTAACTCCGTGGTAATTACCATCCTGGTCTTTGCCATTCGGAGACATGTGTTGTTAGACTGTGCTAATAAAACGAGGGAGGTGATAGGGTTATTGGTGCGATATTAATGGCATCCAGGGACCTTTTTCATGGGTGGTCTCAGTTCCAAGAAGTCCAATTTGAGCTGGGTAGCTCAGAGCAGGGCCTGTTTCTGCTGGCTGTATGAAAAAAATCGTTTTTATGGGCTCTGAAAACAAACAGAAAAGCTTCAACTGTCTGTTTTTTTTCCTTTAAAAGTACAACGACAAGTTTCCTGACACAAAGCAGCCCTTTGTGTGCCACGGCTGCGCGAACTGGTCCGTGTTGGCTGCCGCCTCTGTAGCCTGAGGAAGTTTTACTGGTTCTTTCCCCTTTTGACCCAGAAGGAAACCGTGGTGGAGAGCGCCTACGAGGCTCGGGCTTTGGGGGTGCTTTCACGTGGGGGTGAGTCAGTCTGTCCTAGCGTTTCCTTGGACCTTTCCTCAGTATTTACTGCAATGAATTTCATTTTTAGGTTTAATCCGTGTATTTAACATGCTTTGAAAGCAGGATCTGAATAATTTGGGCTGGCTTTGGTCCTCATATAAGGAGGGAAAAACAAACTCATAGCAATGAAGTTGTATTTGAATTCCAGTTCCAAGCTGTGTAAGCAGTCTAATACTTTATGGCATTACCGCCAAAATACATTATGGCAACAGATCCCATCTAGCTACGTTCTGCATGGTTATCAGGGACATAAAGTGAAGACATGCTATTAATCATCGCAATATTTTTCCTTTCCGTAATTACCTTGGATTCATTTTCCCTGCTGAGAGTGTCTGGTGCCTTCTCTCTCTGGCAGAAAGCAAAGCCATTAAGGACCTCATCCTGCTCCCACCGAAGCCTCTGACAGTTTCCCCAGTGCCTCCTGCCCAGGCAGGACACAGCTGGTAGCAACGTTTTGCCAGATTCCCCTGTGTTTTCCATGGCCCCTTGGCCATGGTGGCTCGCACGGCAGTGCCTGGTGGCACGTCTACTGGTCAAGCTGGCAAAAAGGTGGGGTATGCTGTATTAGTGCGGTGTGACTCTCTTCCTCTTTTAAAACAGTATGATAGTAACAAGCGTTACGGTTCCTGTGTGTTACACTGCCTGCATGCTAAGTGAGCTGTCCGGTTACTTTTCTGCCTTGCACTGCGGTAGTCCCAGCCGGTGTGCCCAGTGGGCACCGTGGGAATACAGTGTGCAAACTCGCCCCTGCTCAAAGAACTGCTTAACCTCAGGAAAGCGATTGGAAATCTGGTGCGTGAGTTAGTTTCAGTATCTCAATTTGAGAGAGATATATTGCAAAAAATAGGAAGGAGAATGCTTCCAGCTTAAATAATGAACAGTTGAGGCCTTCTGTGTCCTTATAGTCTTGAGTGCAACCACTCCTGCTTTGCACCTCTGCGGAGCAAGGATCAGGTGAGGTAGCTGCATCGCCATCCCTGGCGCTCTGAGGAGTGCAAACAGTCTGCTAAGCAGAGTTTTCTTTGACAACTGCTGTTATGTATAATTAGGATATTACGTACTAAACTCAGGGAATCATTTCTCAAAGCCTTCAAGGATCTGATGGGTATTAAAAATTGCAGATTTGCTGTAACATAAGGGTTAATGGGTTCTGGTTACTGCAATTTCATCTTTAGTGTTCCCTTTGAGTATCTGATTGGCAATAGTAGATTAGATAGGAGCTGATTTCTGAAGGATGCTCTAAGGGAAAACACAGTACATCGGCTCTTGGGAAAGGGCCTGCACAGATCCCCAGTCGTACCAGGCGTGGGGGGTCAGGCAGGGAGGCTTCGGAGGGCACCACTGGCATAGCTTGCACTGGAAGGCAGCGAGAAATGAGTGTCTAACTGCAAATTGTGCTTAGGAAAATTCCCCGGCATAGTGTTTACTCAGAAATATTTAAACAACCAAGAAGCAGAGCAATTACAAAATGAGCTGACTGGGAGTAGTCACCAGGAGGAGGGAGGGCTGGGAGTACTGCACCCTCTGCGAGGGCCCATGGGTCGCGGAGAAGGGCCTAGCACCCTAGCTCCCTGGCCAGGGAGGGCTGCTGCCCAACGGGAGGGAGGCAAATGCTTCGTTTTGGGTTTGAAAAGGTAGAGTCACGTATTCAAAGCAGCCCTGGACTGTGCAGCTCATCAAGACTCTATGAAATTAATAACACATGCAAATATATGCAAATTCTGCTACTTTAAAATATAGCAGTTTTAAACGTGCTAATTAGATGCATATTAATTTTTGTAAACAGATGCGTTGTTAGGGCCATAGCAATGGGGGTTCTCTGTTCTTTTGATATACGGATGGGTTTGCGGGGAGCTTTTCTTGCAGAGGATCCAGAGACAGGAGCTGAAAACGATGAAGGACAAGGAGAGCTGTGTGTCTGGGACACAGCAAAGAGGCTAGGGTCCTTCTGGTGAAGATAGGTGAGAAGTGACCTAGCTGAAGCATGAATGGTGATTAATGATACAGAGCAGGAAAACTAGGTGCCCCATTACCCCTCATCATACCAGGGAGGTGCCAATGAAATGGAAAGGCAACAGACTTTCTAAAACCATAAAAGAAAGAACATTTTAAATTCCTTTTTACTGAACGTTTATATCACCTCTGCAACCACTCTGAGATACAGATCCTGTGCTCAGCAGCCTACTGCCCTTTGGCAAAATCTATTTCAAAATCTCTTTGTTTCCAGTTTAAAAGGGAGCTTCTGTGTGCTGAAGCCTTAAAATAAAAACCCTCACGTAGAGCAAGCTACCAGTATTGAGCCATTATGCCAAAATGGGAGTGCAGGCTAGCCCTAACCTTAATGAGAGCTCTCAATGCACAGAGCAGAGGATGGTCTCCACCTCGCAGCGCAGGCGAGGGTCCAACCCCACAGCAGCGAGCTGGGGACCCAGCGACGCCTCCTCTTCCTTCCAGCAGCAAAGCAGCTTGCTCAGCTCAGAGCATGACACGCCAGGAAATAAAAAGCGTGAGGCCTCAAACAGCAAACCTTGGTGGTGCCTTAGCTCAGAATGGAATAAACTGAGTAAATTCATTGATTTGAATGCATAGTGTATAACCTATGTACAGAAGGTCAGAACCAGACCCATTTTAGTTTAGTACTTACAGAGCAACATCACATTTCAGCAAAAAGCCATTTGCACCCTCTGGAAATCATGACAACCATAAGAAACTATGCTTCATCTGATGCTTTGATTATCCCTCAACAAAACAGAACAGAGCAGTAGTCTGATAATCACGAGCAACCCCAGCTAACAGACTAGCTTGCCTTTGGGTAATGGACCAAAAGTAATGTCATTAAGGAAACAGGTTTAACACCAAAGCTCCCACTGGGTGGTTAGATCTCTGCGACACACCAGGCAGCAAAATGCTTCTAAGCATGGGGAAGTGCCTTGTCGCAGGGCAGCAGATGTGGCACGAAGGCAGGCTGGTGGTGTGGCATCGGAGGCCCCTTACCTGGCTATGACAAAGAGCACGCAGCTGACACCCAGGTAGGCGAGGAGGATGTACATCCAAATGTCAGGAGACAAGGGGTTGAGGAAGGAAAACACACTGGGGTTGGTTCCGTTGGGCTTCCGGTAGAGGATGCTGACCCCCAGGGTCATGAAGGGCTTGGAGAAGTCTATCGCTTTCTCCCGAACGTGAGTAATGGTGAGAGGAGCAACGGCCAGATCAGCTTTCTGTGCAGCAGTATCGAAGGAGAGAGACATCGGGAGAAAGAAAGAAGCCATTAGAAACTGAGGCATTTCCATCCTGACAGAAACCCTCTGCCTCCCTAGCACACCCTGCAGGGAGGTCGATCTTGTTCTTGGCACAAGAAAGCAGCTCAGGGCAGAGCCTTCCCAAGGCAGGAGCCAGCATTTGTCAGACTGCTCTGCTTCTCCTCACCAGGTTATGCAGGCCAGCCTAGCTGGTTTGACCTCCAGCAGAAATACCCCAGGACTGTGAGGCTGGTGGCATTCATGTTTCTCTGCCCAGACCTCACAGGGCTGGATGAGCACACACCTGCTGCGGGCTGGTTCAGCAACCACAGCAGAGACCCAACTGCAAACATTCGAAGGTTTAATCCTTGCTATTATCACCTGGGAGCTACAAAACCCAGCAGGACCAGTCCACAGGGGCTGCAGCGATGTTTCTCTGCTCCAGTGCCATCCTTTCCTCCCTGTTCCCATTCCCCCAATTAGCAGGGTGCAGACAGTTTGCCAGAGCTCAAAGCAAAAATCAGGTGAAGGTGTGAGGGTTACTCTGAGATGAGGCTTGCTAGAAGGAAGATGAGATGGAGGGGAAAAAAATAGAGAAGGAAGAGAAGGGTGGGCAGACCACTCTGGACATTGGTTCAGGTTTTTATTTTTAGTACATCCAGCTGGAATTGGGCCTGAGGTGCTTACAGCCTGAGCTGAGCTGCACAGACAGATCTCACAGCACCTCGCATGCAGGAGCGAAACCCAGGGCTTCTACCCAGCTGCACTAGGAGCATCTGAAGTCTTATGTGTGCATGTGGAAGGAGAAACCCAATGCATGCTGAATCCCAAAGGGCCCATTGCCAGGCTGACTCCTCCTTCCCAAGGGCTGGACACTGCACCGTGCACAGCACCTTTACCCCAGCACTCATTTTGCAGTATTCTGCATCCGTGCATCTCAGCTAGCAGAGAGCTAGCTCCTCTCCAAAGCCCCCAGTAGTGAACGGACCAGGGATCACTCTGCGTAAGCACACAGATACTGAAGATACGACAGGCTGAAAGTGGAACGGATGTGACATAGTCTATTTATTACAAATACCTTTTATCACCTAAACATAACCCCAACACAGACAGATGCGGGGTCTCCAGCCTACACTGGGCTAGATTCTGGAGCTGATGGCATGGATGTGAATCTGCAGTCTTCAAGAGAGTTGTTCCAGTTTTAAGTCAGTGTACTGGAGAGCAAAATACCGTCTGCTATTTAGCAGTTGTACTCTATAACTTCCGTTGTATAGATTTTTAGTTTATTTTAGCTAGAGAAATACAGCATGGACAACGCAGAGATGCTATATTCTCTGCAGCTTTCGCCCAGATACGTTAAGCTCATTTTAAGTGGCTTTTGTAAGATGGTCAGAAAAACTGTATTTTAAAACGTTATAAAAGGTGTCTGTGATCCTAGCCATGCTCACTTCTTGCAGCGGGACTCTACAACAGCGAGTTTACTGTGCACAAATCCCGCTGTATGCAGAGATGATTTGTTTTGTTGGCCTTCCTTTCAGTGTTGCTCCAAGTACAGACCGTCGCAAAGGGCTGCTCCAGAGGTGAGGCTGCAGGAAGTAATATTCTAGCAGCATGAGGTAAAAGGTTCAATTTCTCTCTTCTCAGTCGACTGCATGATGAAACTTGAGCGACTCATTCTGAGGAGGCTTTGGCCTTTGGTAGCAGTGCTGCAGTTTGGCAGTGCTAGCGAGCGTGCCCTAGCGTAGGGAGCGACCAGAAAGAGGACGCGTTTTGCATGATGTCTTTCTTCTGCGCTTGTGACCGCGAGCCCCACTGAGGAAACGCTTCTGCTGATTAATGGTGATGGTGCAACTGCTCGAGACGCAGAAGGAAGTTCAGCTGAGCATGTTCTCATCTGACTTCTTGTATGAATTGTGTTTCTTTTTATTCTTTTTGCTATTTAATAATTTCTATGCTAGATTGAGCGAGCAGCCACGTACAACCTCTTTCTGTTGATCTGTCTTCCTTGCTTAAGAGCTGCATTCATTTGCTCCCACTAAATGTTCATTCAAGCTCTTTAAAAAACCTTAAAAAAGTAGATGCATCTAAGGACTACGTCAGTGGCAGCTGCTTTACTTGGGGTTTCCAAATCACTCTTTTGGTATTGTTGGCTTCAGAGGAAACATAGGCACATAAATGATCTTGCTGATGTTGAACAGAACTTCCCCCCACTGCAGGTGCTTACATACCCATGCAAGATTTATTTAACATCTGGTTCTGAAAATTAAAATACTAAATTAACCATGGGAGATAATTACCTAGAGATATAGTGGATTTGTCGTTACTTGCAACCTTTAAATCAATATTGGCTGTCTTGCCAGAACATGCTTTACTCGAACAGAAATTACGGCTTCACTGCAGAAATTGGTGAAGATCTGTTGCCTGTGTTGTGGAGAACGGTCAGACTAATGATCTCTTTTGACCTTAAAAATCTTTGAAGAAAGCCAGTGGAATATTTTTAAATATAGGGATCTATTTGGGTTTTTTTTCCTGTGGCAAGAGTTTCTACATGAGCTTTTATCCATAACGTATAAAACAAATGGTTCTCCTCTCCAAATAACACAGTTTTAGAGGTCTTAAACAGAAGAGTTTCAAGAATTTTCTAACAGGGGCAAAAATATGTATTTTCTTCTAACATGGTTGTTAAGTTGAGCTATGGTTGCTTGAATGTTCCCAAAACTTTCTTTGTCACTTTCCAAATGAAAATAGAATTATATTTTTAAATCGGCTTGGTACAGAAAGTGCCCATTTGAATTGCTGGCATTTGTCAAAACTTAGAGAAAATAGAAACAAGATTTTCCCAGTGAGACAGCTTGTGCCAGCTGTGGCTATGCTGACACTGATGACAACTGAAGGACAGTTAGTGCTGACTGTCTGGCTTGAGACAGTGAAGTCCTAGATCTCAGAAGCAGAGTTTGCATCTTCGTTATATATCCGTGTCGAGCAGGTGTGTAGCGCAGACATGAGGCATCTCCCCAAAGGAGAGCCAACTTGAAAGTTTTGGCTTACAAGTCTCAAAGTCACAGTGCAAAAATGGCAAAAGAAAGGCAGAATCTTAGCTCCTGCATCACTTCTCCGTGCGTGCGTGTGTGTGTCCAGGCTCTAACAGTGGTGCCTGCAGAAGATACTGCAGGATTTGGCTACTGATTTTTCTGAAAAAGTAAATAAATGAACAGTTACGTGGTAGTAACTGCTTGCCTGAAAGATGCTACGCCAAATATGTCAAAATGGTATAGAAAGCTAAATAGCAGTTAGAAATTTATGCTTTCACACAGAAAATGAAGAGAGAAAAATCTGCATGGATGCCCAAGGATCAAAGTGCTTTTAGCGCAGAAATAAAATTTTACTGTGTCGTTTCAGCACCTCCTGTGATTTGATCGCAGCCCCATGTCCTTGGCAATAAAAGTCACACACAACGAGAATGAAGCCTGTGTTAGGGAGCCCGATCTGGTGGTGTGTCCGGAGCTATTAAAGGCAGCACTTGGGGATGCACTTGGATATCCTTTTTCTCAGTGCAGATTTTTCTGAAGGTGGCCTCTAATTAACGATTTGCTGACTGAGAGGATCTAACTCAAACCCCGCCAAGGGTGAAGTTTGCATTTGTCATGCTCTGACATTAGCAAACCAGGAAGCCAGTTGCCAAGCCCCAAACACTTCCTCCGCTCATCCCCAGCTTCTGTGCTGTTGCACAATAAGATGTTTTTTTATTAAAAACGAGGAATTATAACGAGTGCCAGTGGCTTAAAGGCTCCTATCCAGCAAAGCCACTTAAATACATGCTTATGTCTTACCGGCACTTGCACACACTCCAAACGTTATGTGTGTTCCTAAGTGTTCGGCTGAACTGAGGCCAAAAAGCTGAATTTTGCCATGCCAACACCAAATGAAAGCACTTCTCTAACACACCTTTTACAGGGTTTGAATCGCCTTATTCACACAGTGGGTATCGACATTTCAAGTTTGGTGAAACTTTACCCAGTGTAAGTGGATGGAGAATCATATTTCCTGCAGACATATTAGTCTTCTATCAGAAAATGCAAAGTCTGTCTTCAGGGTCTGAGTTTTCAAGGGAATGTGCCCTATCGGTCAGAAACACCCTTGCGCGTCCGCGGGCGCTGCGGGCATAACAGGTAAATAATGCATGTTTTATTTATATAATTAATTGTTGCTCAGGTGTCTGTCTGGCAGCGTCAAATCGTTCAGCCTTTGCTTTCTTTTGCCATAGCTTTTGTCAGCGGTGCGGCCACAGAGTTTTTCTGCTCCCACCGTCGTTCCTGAGGTCCCACTGGGTCCTGGTCCCGCTTTGGCTGCGCCGC